TACTAGTGCTCGGTTATAGGAATTACAATCCAACATATCTGAAGGGACCTGTTTGGGAATGACTGTTTTGGAAGAGAAACCAAGAAAAGCAATATGGTATGGCAAATTTACCCACCACTGCTTGCCTTCCATTTATAGCAGTGTTTCTAACCTTGGGCACCTTAAAGCTGCACAGCCTCAACCCCCCAGAATCCCCTAGCCAGCATGCTGGTTGGGGAATTCTGGGAGTTGAAGTCCACACAGCTTGAAGTTGCCAAGGTTCAGAAACACTGCTATAAATGGAAGGCAAGCAGTGGTGGGTAAATTTGCCATACCATATTGCTTTTCTTGGTTTCTCTTCCAAAACAGTCATTCCCAAACAGGTCCCTTCAGATATGTTGGATTGTAATTCCTATAACCGAGCACTAGTATGAGGAATGCTAGATGGGGAGGTAGGAAGAGCACAGCAAGAAAACTGATGATACAGACATATGCTAATGTCTACTTGGGGCATAAAATGCTCAGCAGCGTTGAATGAAATTTTTGCCTGCCATTACAATCATGTTGTGATTTTTATATGGAACATTTATAGGCTGTCTTCATCAAAATTTTCATCTCAAGTGGGTCTATGAAAGATTTCTTATCTTGTATTGTCATGATCTGTTTTTGCCATATTTACCAAACTAATCTTGCATAAACACACACACACACACACAAAACCAGTGTGGAGTGAAAAGTGCATTTAAAGGAAACCGTGAATATGAAACACTGAGGCTTGCTCTGTTTCTTCTTGCTTACAGTTGGACAGCCCCCTGAAGAACCCAAAATGAAAATTGATCTGACCGGCTACTTTGTGAAAAGGCCCCCAGGGGTCTTGCACTGCACCACTAAATTCACTGACTTTGGGAAGGCTCCAGGAGCAGATGATTATGCACAGCAAGAGGTGAGAATTTTTCTTTTTATTCTGACAGAAACATGATAGCGTATAAAGGCATTTTTCAAGATTATTTTAGGTGGGGTGGTCCAACTTTCTCACTTTCCCTCAACCTTTTTACGAGAGGAATTGTGTATTTACAAAGGAATCTGGATGCCCCCCCCCAGTTAAAATCAGTATTGTGTACAACATTCAGTATGAGCAGCCGTACATTTCATATGCTATGTAAAATAATATATTCTCTTAAAAATAGTATTTGCTGTAAACTTGAATGTTTTTAGCACACAAGATAATTCACTTTACCTACTAAAAAAAGATTGCCTGAAAGAAAGAATGATTCTATATGATACACAGAAATTTCTCCTTTAAGATTTACCTGTGCTTAAACTACATGTTATTGAAACATCCATCTCTATAACAGTTTAATTTTATTATGACATAGATATTTTTAGATTTTATTACTTGTAATCATAATCTGCCTTGAAAATACTTACATGAAGGCATATATAAAGCATGTATAAGTGACTTTTCTTTGAACAAATTTAGCCAATGCAAAACTGTATGTATGTATCTATGTGTATATATAGAGACAGAGAGACAGAGACAAAGTGATACTTTAGTTCTTTAAAGATCCTTGAGTGTGCATTAACTCAGAAGGTTTCCCAGAACCATTCATGTGCCTCAAAGTAGTATCACACAAGGGAGTTGGGCTGTTTTTTTCACCAAATTCCCTAGTTCCCCAGCTGTGATTTTTCCTAATCTAGAATAAATACCTG